ACTAAAAAAGCTGTATACTGCTGAAGGAAATTAAATAAGACTTAATAAATGGAAAGATGTCTGTGTTCATGGATCGGCAGTACTACCCAAAGTGGGCTACAGACTTGGCGTAATCCATATCAGAATCCCAATGGTGTTTTTTTGGGATTTTTGCAGGAATCTCAAGGGATCTGAATGGCCAAAGTAATTTAAAAAAAAACGGCATAGTTGGATTCATACTTCCTGATTTCAAAACTTAATACAAAGCTACAGTAATCAAAACTGTATAGTATTGGCATAAGGTCAGACATGTAGCGCAAAGGAATGAAACTGAGAGTTAAACTCTCACATATGGTCAACTGATTTCCAGCAGCGGAAAAAGCCGTTCAATGGGGGAAAGGAGTGTCTTCAACAGACGGTGCTGAGAGAATGTTATCCACACGCAGAAAATGAACTTGGACCCTGACCTGACACCATATTCAAAAAGTAACTCCAAATGGATTAAAGATTAAACTTAAGAGCTAAAACTACAAAACTTCTGGAAGATAGGAGAAAATTGGCAACATTCTCGTTCTCTCTCTCTCCTCTCTCTGAGTTTAGCTCTGTTGCTCAGGCTGGAGTGCAGTGGTGTGATCTCGGCTCACTGCAGCCTCCGCCTCCCAGGTCCAAGTGATTCTCCTGCCTCAAATTCCCCAGTAGCTGGGACTACAGGCACATGACATCACACCTGGATAATTCTGTCTTTTTTTTTGGTAGAGATGGGGTTTCGCCATGTTGGCCAGGCAGGTCTTGAACTGCTGACCTCAGGTGATCCACCAACCTCGTCCTCTGAAAGTCCTGGGATTACAGGCATGTGCCACCATGCCCAGTCAGCAACGTTTTCTTAAATATAACACTGAAAGCATAAGCAACAAAAGAAAAAATAAATTGGATTTCATGAAAATTAACAACTTTTGTGCATGAAAGAACACTATCAAGTGATTAAAAGTCAACCGAGTGGGAGAAAATATTTGCAGATCAGATCTCTGATAAGTGTCTAGTATCTGAAATATATAAAGAATTTCAACAGCTCAGCAAAAAGGCAACCCAACTAAAAACTGGACTTGAACAGACATTTTTCTGGAGAAGATATGCAAATGGCAATAAGCACGAGAGAAGTCTCAACATCGTTAGTCATCAGGAGACCCCAAATCAAAGCCACAGTGAGATTCCACTTCACATCCATTAGGATGGCTATTATTAAAGGAACAATGTGGGCCTGGGCGCGGTGGTGCATGCCTATAATCCCAGCACTTTGGGAGGCCGAGGTGGGCGGATCACTTAAGGTCAGGAGTTCGAGTCCAGCCTGACCAACATGGTAAAACCCCATCTCTACTAAACATACAAAAATTAACTGGGTGTGGTGGCAGGCGCCTGTAATCCCAGCTACTTGGGAGGGTGAGGCAGCAGGAGAATCACTTGAAGCTGGGAGGAGAAGGTTGTAGTAAGCCAAGGTCATGCCACTGGACTCCAGCCTGAGCAACAAGAGACTCCCTCTCAAATAATAGTAATAATAATAATAATAATAATTTGGGAGGCCGAGGCAGGCGGATCACAAGGTCAAGAGATGGAGATCATCCTGGCCAACATGGTGAAACCCCGTCTCTACTAAAAAATACAAAAATTAGCTGGATGTGGTGGCGCATGCCTGTAGTCCCAGCTACTCAGGAGGCTGAGGCAGGAGAATTGCTTGAACCTGGGAGGCAGAGGTTGCAGTGAGCCGAGATTGCGCCACTGCACTCCAGCCTGGCGCCTGGTGACAGAGTGAGACTCTGTCGCGAAATAATAATCATAATGATAATAATGTGTTAGAAAGGATATAGAGGAACTGGAACCCTTACGTAATGCCAGCAGGAATGTGAAATGGTGCAGTCACTGTGGAAACAGTTTGGTGGGTCTTCAAAATGTAAAATACGAATTACCGCATGACCCCGCAACTCCGCTCCTAAGTCTGCACCTCAAAGAACTGAAAACAAGGATTCGAAAGATACAACGTACACTCACGTTTCATAGCAGCATTATTTCCAGTAGCTAAAAGGTGGAAACCGCCCAGATGTCCATCAATAGGTGAATGTTATCAGCCTTAAAAAGCAAGTTCTGATCCATGCTACAACACAGACAAGCCTTGAAAACGTTGTGAAGCGCGACGCCGTGGCTCATGCCTGTAATCCCTGCACTTTGGGAGGCTGAGGTGGGTGGATCACTGGAGGTCAGGAGTTTGAGACCAGCCTGCCAACATGGCGAAACTCTGTCTCTATTAAAAATTCAAAAAAATTAGGGGGGCCTGGTGGAACACACCTGTAATCCCAGCTACTCGGGAGGCTGAAGCAGAAGGATGGTTTGAACTGGGAGGTGGAAGCCGAGATTTCGCCACTGCACTGCAGCCTGCGACACAGCGGGACTCTGTCTCAAAAAACAAAAAAAAAATTAAGCAAAATGAGCCAGGCACAAAGGCCATGTATTGCGTTATTCCAGTTGCACGAACTGTCTAGAATAGGCAAGTTAATAGAGCTGTAATTAGAGGCGACGTGAGCCGAGGGGGGACGGGGCAGTGGAGAGGGACTGCTCTATGGGCCCAGTTTCTGTCTGGGGTGACTTTAAAGCTCTGGATCATGCTGCCTGTGGTGGACGTACTTCATGCCGCTGAATGTCACTCTTACAGTAGTTAAAGTCCTAAAGTTCATGTCTGTTTCACCGCAATGACTGTGCTTAACAGCCCGGCGTGTCGCTCCTGTTCATCCCAATTTAACCCGGGGTGGCCGTTTGTAAACTTCTCACATCTGTGACAAGCAGGCAGCCGCCGACCCAGACCTTTAATCAAAAATCCCCAGACCGGGAGAGAGGCGCGCTGTCTCCCTCGTGTACAGAGAACCCCGGAAAACATCCCGAACTGCGAAGCGCGACGAGGCCTGCTGAAAAGGGCTGACAAGCATCTCAAGGGGCAGAATTTAGGGTTTTCTAAAGGAAACGCCGAGAAGGGAGAGCGGGGAGTCTGTCGGTTTCGGCACCAGGGAAGACCGCATTTTCGGGGTGTACCTGCTCAGCAGCCCCGAAAGCGGAGCGTTCAGGGCCGAGGCCGCGGGCGGGGTCCCACCGGCAAGCGGGTGCGGGGGACGCGGACCGGAGGCGGCGGGAGGCCCCTGAAACCCCGCAGAGGCGCCAGCCCTGCCCAGGGAGGTGGGGGGCGGCGGGCGGAGCCCCGAGGACTCCCCGCCTTCGGTGTCGGCCCCTGGAGCGGCGCGTGGGTCCGAGGAGCGCGCCTGGGGTCGCGGGCAATGCGGGGGGCGGCGGCCGCGGCGTGGGCACCCAGGGGGCTCCCAAGGGCAGGAGGAGCGGGACCCGGAGGACGCCGCGGGGTGGAGAGAGGGGGAGGCCGGAGTGAGTTTCGGGTGCGGCTGGACTGCTTCGCGGGCGCAGCTTGGGGAGGACGGAGATGGCCCCTGGGCGGGGGGAAGCCTGCAGGAGCCGGGCGCGGGGTGCGGACGCGGGGGGGCACAGATTCGTCCTGGGTTTTTCAGCGAAGGGACAAGAATGCGGGGCGTCGGAGACCCGGGACCCCAGAGGCCAGACCGTGTCCTCCAGGTCTTCGGGGGCGGCCGCGGGCGGGGGTTGCTCCCCAGGGCGCGGACCGGAGCCTCCCGGGGCCCGCAGGCGGCAGCGCCCCCACCACGCGCGAAGGCGGCTCCCGCGGCCGGACCAGCCCCACCTCCCGGGATCGCGTCCCAGCGCAGGCTTCGTGTCGCTGCTTGTTCCTTCCAGAGTGAGGCCGGTTTTTTTCTGAAACTCTCCGTTGGGGGCGTTTCAGCCCCGGGGTTCTGTAGGGACGCGGCCCGGTGGGAGACCTCGGGGTGCAGCCGCGGGCGGCAGGACGAGCACGGGGGCAGCGCGGGTGGGAGCTGGGAGAAGAGGGGCTGCCGGGGTCGTTCGGGGCGCGCGGCGGGAGATCCCGGCCCTGAGCCCGCGAGGACCGAGCCCGGCGCCGCCTCCGGCCACGTGGGGACGAACTGCCCACGAGCTGGGCATCCTGGGGGGTCCTCGTGGCTCCGACCCGCCCCGACCTCCGCCGGGTTTCTGGGTCTGGTTTCCGCCCCAGGCCCCGAGGGAAGGCTGGGGGGTCGCGGTTCCCGGGAGGCGAGAGCTAGCAGCTGTGGGAGCGTGGAGGGGGTCCGGAGACCAGGCTCGGGCTTGGCTTACAGGCCCTGGAGGGCCGGGCCGGGGCCGCATCTGCCTGGAGCCGGTGGCGGCGGGAAGAAGGGAGTGCGTGAGGCCCCCTCCACCTGCAGGAACCGGGGAGCGAGGCCTGAAGGCCTCCCATCTCCCAGCCCCGTCGCTTGAGCTTTAATTGGGGAGATGTCTTTGAGGACAAGCTCCTGCCCTAGCCTCAGGTTCCCAGGACAAGGGCTCCTCTCGCAGCTCAACCAGGCAGACAGCACTCAAGGAGAGACCCTCCTTTCACCCCCTGAAGGACCCCACAGGCTATCCAAGCCGCCAGCGGCTGGGTCCTGTGAAGCTGGTGGTTCCACTGCGCTGCGCCCCTGCCCCAGGGAGGTGGACGCAGGCCCAGGGAGACCCTCGCTACCTGGATGATGGGGGAGGGCTTCCCCATCTCTGACCTGTGCCTTTTTCTCTGTGAATGAGACACAGAGGGCAGGCTGCCCAGTGGGTCGGGCTCCCACGGGGCAGGCCTCAGGCAGCTCCGTGCGCCTCGCAGCATGGAGGTGCTGGCTCGCTCTTCTGGGAATACCCCAGCCCCAGCTCCCCTAGGTCTTCCCAGGAACACCCAAAAGGGTTCACCTGAAAACCAATGACCAGTTGTTCTAGTACCATTTGCTGAGAAAACTCTTTCTACACTGAATGACCCCTTTGCCTAAGATGAAATGGCTGAGTTTCTGCGGGTGTTTCTGGACTCTGTTCAGTTCGATGGATCTATGCGCCTATCACTTCGCCAATTCCAAATGGTCCCAACTGCTCAGGATCTATAGTAGGTGTTAAAATCAGACAGTTGGCTGGGTGCTGCGACTCAGGCCTGTAATCCCAGCACTTCGGGAGGCCGAGGCAGGCGGATCACTTGAGGTCAGCAGTTTGAGATCAGCCTGGCCAACGTGGTGAAACCCTGTCTCTACTAAAAATACAAAATTTAGCTGGGCGTGGCGACACTCGCCTGTAATCCCAGCTACCTGGGAGGCTGAGGCAGGAAAATCGCTTGAACCCGGGAGGCAGAAGTTGCAGTGAGCAGAGATTGTGCCATTGCACTCCAGCCCAGGCGACAGAGCCAGACTCCGTCTCTGAAACAAAGAAAATCGGACAGTCTGAATCCTAGAACCTTTTTGTTTTCAAATTTTAGTTATTGTAATTCATTACCCTTTCACATAAAGTTTAAAATCAGTCTACGTCTACCAAAAAAAAAAAATCCTGCTGGAACTTTGACTGGTTTTGTGTTAAATCTGTAGATCACTTGGGGAGAATGGACCTCTTTACCATGCTGAATCTTCAAATCCACCAACCCAATAAGCCTTTCCATTTATTTAGGTTCTCTCTGATTAGTTTCAAGAGCATTTTGTAGTTTCCAGCGCACAGATTTCATACGTTGTGTTGGATTAACATCAAGTCATGTTTTGGAGCTATTGTAAATGATAACCTTAATATTTTTGGCTTCTTATTGTTTGTTATTTGCATATGGGAATAAAACTGATTTTTTTTTTTCTTTTTTTGAGATAGAGGCTCGCTCTGTCACTCAGGAGTGACAGAGTGGTGCAGTGGTGCAACCTCGGCTCACCGCAACCTCCACCTCCTGGGCTCAAGCAATTCTCCTGTCTTAGCCTCCTAATTAGCTGGGATTATAGGCACATTGCCACCATGCCTGGCTAATCTTTGTATTTTTAGTAGTGATGGAGTTTCACCATGTTGGCCAGGCTGGTCTTGAACTCCTGACCTCAGGTGATCCATCCACCTCAGCCTCCCAAAGTGCTGGGATTACAGGCGTGAACCACGGTGCCCGGCCATGATTGATTTTCACGTGATGATCTTGTAACCCACAACATGGCTAAACCCATTCATTGGTTCTAGGAGGTTGTTTGTTCTTGTTTGTTTTGAGACAGAGTCTCACTCGCTCTGTTGCCCAGGCCAGAGTGCTGTGCTGTCATGCAATCTCTGCTCACTGCAACCTCCACCTCTCAGGCTCAAGTGATTCTCCTGCTTCAGCCTCCCAAATAGCTGGTACTGCAAGTGCCCACCACCATGCCCAGCAATTTTTGTATTTTTAATAGAGTCAGGATTTCTCCATGTTGGCCAGGCTGGTCTCAAACTCCTGACTTGAAGTGATCTGCCTGCCTTAGCCTCCCAAAGTGCTGGCATTACAGGCATGAGCCACTGCACCCACCTTGTTCTTGTTTTTAATATGGTCCCTGGGATTGTCTACATAATCATGTTTGTCTGCAAATCAGGACACTTTTGTTTCTTCCTTTCCAGCTGGTATGCCTTTCATTTCTGGTCTCGACCTTTTGCACTAGCCAGAACTTCCGGCACAGTGTTGATAAAGAGGGTGAGGGCAGAAATCCCTACCTTGACCCTGGTCTTAGGAGCAGGTGGAAGGCATCCAGGCCCTCCCCACGAAGTATGTGCGATTAGCTGTAGGATATTTGTTGATGTCTTTTTTCAGGCTGAGGAAATTTGCTGGATGTAGAGATCTGAAAAATATTGTGCCTTCTTTGTAGCCTTTGTGGGTTCTGATGAGAAATCCACTAATTCAAATCATTTTTATTTTATAGATTGTACCACTGCAGATAATAGGTCGTTTTTCTCTGGCCAATTTTAAGATTTTTATTTTTAGGCCTGGCACAGTGGTTCACGCCTATAATCCCAGCACTTTGGGAGGCTGTGGGCAGATCATGAGGTCAGGAGATTGAGACCAGCCTGACCAACATGGTGAAACCCCGTCTCCACTAAAAATACAAAAATTAGCTGGGCATGGTGGTGTGCACCTGTAATCCCAGCTACTCAGGAGGCTGAGGCAGGAGAATTGCTTGAATCTGGAAAGGTGGAGGTTGCAGTGAGCTGAGACTGTGCCACTGCACTCCAGCCTGGGTGACAGAGTGAGACTCCATCTCAAAAAAAGAAAAAAAGATTTTTATTTTTGAATCCTACCTTGTCAAGACTGGAGTGCAGTGGTACGATCTCACTGCAACCTCTGCCCCCAGTTTCAAGCAATTCTTGTGCCTCAGCCTACCGAGTAGCTGAGACTGCAGGCACCCACCACCATGCCCAGCTAGTGCGTGTGTGTGTGTGTGTGTGTGTGTGTGACGGAGTCTCACTCTGTCACCAAGGTGGACTGCAGTAGCACAATCTCGGCTCACTGCAACCTCCACCTCCCATGTTCAAGCAATTCTTCTGCCTCAGCCTCCAGAGTAGCTGGGACTACAAGGGCATGCCACCACGGCCAGCTAATTTTTGTATTTTTAGTAAAGATGGAGTTTCACCATGTTGGCCAGGATGGTCTCGATCTCTTGACCTTGTGATCTGCCTGCCTTGGCCTCCACAGTTTTGTATTTTTAGTAGGGATGGGGTTTTGCCACGTTGGCCAAGCTGGTCTTGAACTCCTGGCCTCAAGTGATCTGCCCACCTCAGCCTCCCAAAGTGCTGGGATTACAAGGTGAGCCACTGTGCCTGGCCTTACAATTTTTTTGCCTGTAGTTTTCAGCAATTTAATCTGAAGTGTCTTGGTACAGAATTGTTTATCCTGGATGGAATTTTCTCTGCTTCTTGAATCTGCTGGGTCTCTTACTGAACTCGATCAATTCTTCAGTGATTACTTCCTTGAATATCCTTTCAGCCTCACAGTTCTCTCCTTCCAGGACTCCAGTGACACAAATATTAGCCCTGCTAGCTACTGTCCCACAGGTCCTAGAGTCGTTTTTTTTTTTTTTTGAGATGGAGTCTTGCTCTGTCGCCATTTTTTAAAATTCTTTTTTCTGTCTCCTGCTCAGATTAATTTCTGTGAACATACCTTTGAGTGCACTGACTCCTGTTACCTCCATTCTGCTGTTGAATCCATCCAGTGAGATTTTTCTTCAGTTACATTTTTCAGTTCTGGAATTTCGCTTCGGTTCTTTATATCTTCTATTTCTTTTCTGAGTTCTTCTATTTTAATATTTGTGTCAAAACTGTTTGCAGTTGCTGGTTTGAGCATTTTACAGCAGCTGTTTTAAAGTGCTCGTCAGATACTTCACGTGAGCCACAGCATCACTGGTGTCTGTCGTTCTTCCATTCATGAGTTCAAGTGATTTTCGTTTCTGTTGTGGAAATATTAAGTGCTGTGATTCTCCGGGCCTTTTTTGTCATTCTCACTTTGGTCTCTCACATGATATGGTTCCAGTATCAGTTCATTTTTGAAGCCCTGGCTGTTCTGTTCGGGACCAGCGTTCGTGAGCACCACCCAGTGCTCACCCTGAGACCCCAGTGGAGGCCGGCCTGTTAGATCAGGTCTCCAAGTATGTAATATGCTAATTAGAAGATTTACACACATGCAGATTAGGGGTGGACTCAGGAGTTTTAGGCATTTTATTCACAACAGCATAAAAATAATAATATACGAGTTGGCGCGGTGGCTCACACTTGTAATGCCTGCACTTTGGGAGGCCAAGGTGGGCGATCACCTGAGGTCAGGAGTTCAAGACCAGCCTGGCCAACATGGCATACACTTTTCTCTACTAAAAATACAAAAATTAGCAGGGCCTGGTGGTGTGCGCCTGTAATCCTAACTACTGGGAAGGCTGAGGCATGAGACTCGCTTGAATCTGGGAGGCTGAGGCTGCAGTGAGCTGAGATTGCACCACTGCACTCCAGCCAGGGAGACGGAGGGAGATCCTGTCTCAAAATAATAATGATACCTAGGAATAAGTTTAACGAAAATAGTGCAAGACTGGTATGCTTAAAACTATATAGCAATTCAAAGACATACTGAAGATCTAAATGAGTGACACTCAATGTTCGTGGATTAGAAGACTCAATATTAACATGGCAACACCCTCCAAACTAGTTTGTAGGTTGAACGTAATCCTCACTGAAATGTGAACAGGCTTTGTTTCGTTTTCAGAAATTATCAATCTGATCATCAAATTTATATGGAAATGCAAAGGACCCAGAATAGCCAAAACCATTTTGAAAGGGCACAAACTTGCAAGATGCGCTTTCCACTAAAACTATGAAACTACAGTAGCACAGCGTGTGCTGGCGTGAGAATCAAGATACACATCAGGGGGGAATCCAGAAATAAACCCAAATGTTTACGGTCATTTGATGATGGACAAAGGTGCTGAGGCTTTCAGTTGGGGAAAGAACTGTCTTTTTAACAAAGGCGCAATGCAGTTAGATATATTCATGTAACGAGATGAGTGTAGGCCCCTGCTTCACTCCATACACAAAAATTAACTTGAAATGAACCGCAGACCTAAATGAAAGCGCTAAAGTCATGAAATGGTTAGAAGGACGCATGAGCAGAAATCTTCGTGACTGACCTGGAGTGAGGTAAAGTGTTCTCAGATGCAAGACCAGAGGCAGGGTCGTGAAGGAAAACAGAGATACACTGGACTGATCAAAATTGAAAATGGTGTGATTCAAACAAAATCATTAAGAAAATAAAAAGTAGCTGGATGCAGTGGTTCAGGCCTGTAATCCCAATACCTGAGGAGGTCGAGGCAGGAGCATCATGAGCCCAGGAATTTGAGACCAGTCTGGGCAACACAGTGAGACCCTGTTTCTGTAAAAACAAAAATAGAAATGTCAAAAAAATCACACCTGTGATCCCAGCACTTTGGGAGGCCAAGGTGGATGGACCACTTGAAGCTAGGAGTTGGAGACCAGCCTGGCCCACACAGCAAAACCCTGTTCCATCTCTATTAAAAATATAAAAATTAGCCTGGTGTTGTGGCTCATGTAGTGTGATCCCAGCTACTCAGGAGACTGAGGCAAGAGAATCACTTGAACCCAAAAGGCAGAGG